ATTACCGGCCTCTCTCATCTTTTTGAGTGGGAGAACTTGCACTATTGGTGGCTGACTAAATACTTTTTTGCCCCACTGTATGCATATACCCCCCAAAATTTAAAAAATACGTATGTTCAGCGTATGCCCGCGTTTTTAGAAGATTCTGGGACATCTGCATTTGCTGGCTAAATGGTTGGGGTGTCAAAGCGCCATAACTCATGAAACATCTCTGACTTTCATGAGAAGAATGATTTTTAAGTACAGAGTGAATGTAGCTGGTATTCACTCTTTATGGACATTAGCCTTAAAACCAAGATAAGGATAGCTTCCCTGCTTTACCTCAACAGAAGCCTAACACTTTAAACTGTACCTTTAGCTTGTGCTCCTTCCTGTTCACAATCACAGCAGTGATCTGTTGGTCCATAAAGATCAAAATAGTGACGAGGAGGGCAGGAAGAGCAGAGGCCAGATAAACCCACCAGGGGTTTCCTCCAAATGGAGGCACAAACCAGCCTCTGAGATTGCTTGTTGGCTGTAGAGAGGGATGAAAATAAGAGCTTCACCATCTTTATTCATATTTATTCTTCTTAGAAATATTACAACTAATTCCTATAAATCTTGATACTAATCTCATCTTGTTGTATTTGTTTAAACCTTTAATGACTAAAAAGATCTCACCTTAAATTCACTTGGCACAATAAGTTTAGGAGTGTCAACTCCCACGAAAACATCAACCCCACAGAAGATAAGGATGGCCAGGACGATGGAAAAGTCACTGATGAGCTTCCTTACCTGGTTGGGAGGAATTATAATACAGTATCAGTGAGGTGTTACAAAATGGACATCAGATGCAGAACAAGAAGAAATAGTTGTGATTTTTATGAGTTTGCTGTATTTTTAACCTTAAATCTCCCTCCCTTTCATGCAAACTGTGTGTTTTCGGAAAGAGCTTTGACACTGGCAAAATTAGCTACCTTTACAATATCATGCATAATCAATGCATCAAAATGTAGGATATTAAATCTGTGCTATTTAAAACTTTTTTTTGTTCTGTCCGGCAATGTGATTTTAGGAATTGTTGTCTTAATGCCAGAAAGAGCCCAACAGATTTTACTTTCACAAGTGGAGCATTATCGCTTTTGCCATAGTGCTCTGCTTGATTTATATATGTAAATAGCTTTATTATGGTTTATGTAGGGAATAATTAATGTAATGTGGACATTAAAAAATGGGAGAAAAGGTGAAAGAAAGAAAAGACAAAAGAGAGATACTGACAAAACTACATTAGCAAAATTAGTAATATTTACAATATATATTTAAAAAAATACAGAAAAGTGGGCATAATAAATTTGCTTGATATCTGTTTGGTTTTGGTTTTCAAAAGGCAGTTCTAATATGATAAACAAGCTCCTATTGGAACAAATTATTCAATTTACATAATAGGACAGCATGCTTACAAACTAAACATACAAATTGCTAATAAATTAATGAATTATGCTCAACACAGTTTAATATGTTCACTCAATAGTAACCATTTATCTTCAAATATTCGGAAAGTTCTGTTTAACTAAAGAGATGTGTAACACCATTTGCTCTCTCTCTGTGTTCTCAACATTAACTTAGCTCCTAATTTAAAAACAAATCAGCAGACAGCTTCCTAATACACACTCTTTACTGTTAAACTGAACAAAGATCTTGTGCATTTAAAATGTATCATGTTCAAACAAATTATGACCTTCCTTGGTATGTAGGTATGTCACTTTATTTCAAGAGTTAGAGAAAGGTTTTTAATTTCAACCTGTTTATATGGTGGTTTAATTATGCTTTAAAGGCTTAACTGATATACTATTTAGTTCCATTTCTTAGGAAAACAGAGAAATCTGAATTAAACATCGAGGTCAGTAATAGACCACGATATTGATGAAAAGTGCATCTCTCTTTAGACATTTAAAAAATATGCATTTAATATCATGCTACTTACAGTGGTGGGGAAAAATTGACTTGTTTTGAACTTCTTAAGACACATGGAGGTAGTGTAGGTACCAAAGAAGAGAATAAAGGACATGAGGGTGATGTCTGGGACGTAGTTACAGGCCTCTCCCACCAGCTCTCCATTGTACTTTAAGCACTCTGACTTTGTTAGCCTTGACCATGAGCGGTTTTGTACCTGCATGAAAGAGAAAAAGCATCATGAGTATAAATTGTAACTATGCTGAATAGAAAATCACACAAGCCAACTTTCAAAGTAAAGGTGTTAATCTCTGCATGCTTGTGAAGACTCTCAGTCATTTAGGTCATAGTCATTCCAAAAAAGCTAAAAAAAAAAACAACAACAATCCACTGGACTTTGTTTCCAAGTTTGAAGACACAAAGCTTCAAATCCTGGAAGCTTTGTCCGTTCAAAATGTCAGAAATATCATTGAGTTTGAGGCTTTATAAAGTGGGCCAAAGACAATGCCTTGTTTTGGCTTATAAAACATGCAATTTGAACCTGACAAACGGGTCCACCCCTTAGGAATTGGCAGTCATTTGGGTTCTTTGTTATCCTGCATTTTGACAGTAAATATAACACCCAAATATGTACTATAGGGATTTTGTAAGCAATTTAATGGATCAATGGACAACATTTATGTATTGCTCAATGGAAATGCTTAACACTAGAGCCACTTTTGCACAGTCGTAACCCAAAACTTAACAGATTCATAAACATATATATAAGCAGCTTAAAGGAAAAATTCTCACCTAGATGCACATGTTAAGAAAGAAGGCTACAAATTTATACAAAACATTCAGACAGCAAAACAAATACTCCCCCCCAAAGAGCCACATTCATCTTTTTAAAGATCAAGATATTAACTTCATTCCCAGAGCCCCTAGTAAATTAGTGAAATATTTCCAGCAGCATACTGACTAAAGTCCATCAGAATTAACACAGCAACAGGTAAATGTGTGGACATGTTTAGAAATGTTTTGCTGTCTCTCAGCAGACAGCAGCAGTCACAATGTTAAAGATTCTCAGTTTATATAATTTTCAGTTCATCTTTTTTCTATAAATTAACTTTATAGAAAAAACACTCACCGGGCCATTGCTGTTCAAGTACCACGTTGATCCATCCCCTAAAGGATCGTCAAGCAGCTCTGTCTCGTTTTCTGCAAAATGCAACAAAACAATATTACTTTTACACAACTTTTAATAGCACTTCATCATTCCATCTTAGCTTTAATCAACTCGCTGAGCAGTAAGGTTACGTACCAAATAGGAAAGAAAATTAAGTCCAAAGTGGTTGGAATATTAACTGAATATTTTGTATTTAAATTATTCAAATTGTATGTGCTATAAAGGCAGGATGTATATATTTATTAGAATGAAGCACAACACTGAGCATATAAGATGTAAGCATTGCCTTGCCACGGGTAACAGGCTGACATGAGATTTGAAATTTATATCCAAAAGATGACATGAATAAATATTTTACAAAATTGACTTCTTTCCTGCTGTTTGCACCAAAAAGAGCCAATCAATCAGGATGGTCATTGAAGGCATCCTGGAGAAGCTTTGTACATATTTTAGGTGGTATGTGCACTTATTTTTGGTTAACATTGGGTTGTTGGATGACTTGCAAGAATTTTAAACAACATACCATACATAGAACCTTGTCAGTACCATCTTAAAATCAATAAATGGCATCTGCTTCCACCAGCTGGACTGGAGTACTCAATAACACCTTACATTATCATATACTGTATAAAAATATCCAACACTTGGCTCATTATCTGGCCAATGACTGATCAACCGCTAAAGTACTGAACTACTTACTTTAATTAAGACGTATCTTATTTCAGAACCTGGCTCATACACCACAGGTCACATTTACCTCTGAACACTCACAAAATTCTTCATACACTGATATGTACATCACCCAGCAACTCACCATATAACAGTCATGTGATGGCTGGAGCTGGAATCAAACCAACAACCTTATTGCCAGATAATCACTCAGTCACAGCTCATCAGGCCTTCTAAAGACCTTATATATAGATTTTTTTTTCCACAGCGAGCAACTCATAAACACATCTAAGGCAGAAATAATACTTCAACTGCCAGCTCAGTTAAACAGGAGGTGCCAGAGATGCCGACAACGGAGCAGGGAAAAGAGAGAGGAGCAGGAATTTGAAGCCATCACTTCCATCAACTATTATTGACGATGTCAGATCTTTGACCATAATATCCATAACAAGTTGGCAGAACTCAAAGCCCTAGCAAGGACCCAGCCAGGATAACGCGTTTTACAGAAACATGGCTTCGGGAAAATATCTCGGACTACAGTGTCTCTCTGCGAGGCTTTCTGACCAAATGAACAGACAGAGATTTAGATTTAGAAAACTCAAGGGAGGAAGTCCTCCAGAACCTCTGGAGACGATTTCACGAAGAAAAAAAAATCATAAAGTGAAGAACATTATGGTCAACAGTGAGCATCCTCTTCAGATGATTGTTTAAAGACAAAAGAGTGTCAGCTTCTCTAGATCCAGCACAAGACACAGCGCCTCAGAAAATCCCTTCTGCATCACACTTGCAACATTATTTTGCACTACCAACGCTGCTGAACTTTTATAATCCTTTTAAATAGGACACGACTGAATGTTCTACTGCATTTTGCACCATATTTTGTTTGCCCTGCACTAAACCTTTCCATATCTATGCCCTTTTGCACCATTGTTTTAAACCGGTATCTTTTTCTCCTACATTGTTACATTCTAATCACTGCTGCACTTTATATTGGTAATGCTTATCTTACTCGAACTGCAATATTATTATACAGTTGTAAGCTGTATGCAACAAAATTTCTTTTTGTGCATACAAAATTACAATGAAGTTTGTTTAAGTCTACAGCTATCAACACCTACAGTACTATAACTGGTTAAAAAAAGACCTAAGTTCCTGCAATGCTTAATTACCATTTGTGATTAATAAAGCACTTTTGAATTTGAATTGCACATTGTATTCACTGTAATACACTAACATGTCCTCTTAAGATGCATATTTTAACATACTTGATAGCACCCTCTCACTGTTATCTCAGTTGGTCTTAATGTTAACACTATAAATGTGTATTAACCACAGATTTATATTGCTAAGATAAACTTAATTTGTACTTTTTCTTTCCATGGTGTGAACTGCTCATCCCTAAATTGTTTCTGAAAAAGGTATTAAATGAAAAACGGTCAATAAAGTCAAGGAACTCCTCACCTGAGACCACAGGTGACATGCAGAGACATTCATACTGTGTGATGTTTTCCATATTGTAGTCTGAATTGATGGGGTAGTGGTGAGCTAATTTAATCATCTTCTTGAAGGCATCGTAGATAAAGATGAAGCTGATTAGACACGAGAAGCCCTCCTCTGTGAAGCGGGTGAAGTATTTCACCATGAAGCTGGCATCTGTGACAACGAGCACCAGGCAGAAGAACGCTGACCACAGGCCGATCCATAGGCGGAACTCCAGGTAGTCCAACTCATGGTCCCTAAATGCAAAATCACACAAAATAACTCCAAAACCTCTGAAGTTTAAGACGACAAGAAGACAGGAAATGTTTTATTTCCTTTTGAGGAAAATATTCAAATAAAAATAAAAAACCTAAAGGAAAATTCATAATTAACATGGGACAATAAATGCTTAAGTTTTCATAGGCACTTACAGTGTATAGACTATGGTTGAAAAAAATTATCACATTTGGATGAAGAAATATATTTACAAAGTTTATTTTCAAAAACACAATTACAAAACTTGATTTAATTTTTTTTAAGTTGACCAGTTTATTTCTTATTTAAGGTTTATACACATATTTGATCAAATTCCAGAATAAATGTAATTAGCAGGCTTCGGGCAAATTTAGAATATCCGGAGCTTACCTGCTGAAGTTGAAAAGCAGCCTTTCAAACACCAGTACCGGACCGGTGCTGCTCAAAATAATAAGTGGCTGGCCCCCTAACAAGCAGAAAACACCGCCAGCAATGGCAGTGCCCAGAAAACTCTCCAGTACACCCTGCAAACATGTAAATGGGGTTAAAGAACAAATCTGAGATGGTTGTCACACTTTGCATTATTTTAAGAGTTAAAAGCCCTCCCTGACCTGCATGTTTTCTGTAGCATCTCCCAGCAGCCCGCCAAAGGTGATGGCATTTGTCACAGTTCCCAAGTAAATAAACAAAATGGCCGACAAGGCCTGGATGTGAAGCGCGTCAGTGAAGTCACTAACAAAGAAAGGCGCTTTTCGCTTTACGTCAAGTATCAGGCCCCCACAAAACCTGGCGAAAAAAATTAAAAAAGGTTTAGAAGGTTTAGAAGTATGACAATATTCCTAACCTGTAAGCTGAAAAACAAACATTCATAACTTTCAAAAGAGTTGACCAAAAAATAAATCTTTAAGATGCAATCCTGGTAAAAAAAAATATAATAATTAAAAGAATATCTACTGTCACTCATAAGTTTAAAATGCTTTATGATTTCCCACTTGCATAATCTTCAACTTATTAAACATAGTATAAATCTAGATGTGAGAAACTCTCCATACGCATGAATCACACTGACTTGCACTTTGCCAAGTCTCCATGTAAAAATAGAAACAGATGTAGACTTAACTAGCAGCTGTGAATTTTCTCTCTACTTTATCAAAAGTCACATATCTACAGTCTATACTCTGTAGTGGGAACATTAATTAGTTTTACAGTAGATTGTTAACATTTTTTCTAACACATCTTTCAAGTGTCACTAAAGACCTGTAACTGCAGCACTATGCGTATGCCAGCCACGAAATGGCCGTGAGACATTCCTTGTAGCCGTTCATCATTGATACATCTAGAGTTTTGCAAAGGAAAGGTTTTATGACATGTTTTTTCTTTTTTTAAAGCCATGCATAATGATTTATAATAAATGATGCATTTTGTGTCAGTTTTTACACTGGAAAAAAAAAGCCATGGTTAAAATTGATACTACACTGAAATTAAGGTTTTGGACATGTATTTGAATTATAAAAGTAAGTCTTCATTAGTCAAGACCAACATTCATTCTGGTTTTTTACATACAGTACGGGACTTTTTAACTGATCTGTCTGTGTAATTTTACTAATTTGGCCTGGAAATTGCCTTGAGCTGACGTGATGAAGATGTGTTGTAAGTCAGAGAGAAAAAAATAAACTGATTTGATACATTATTTCACAGGAACACTTAGATGAGACTGTAGACAGACAGACAGAAATAGATAGATAGATAGATAGATAGATAGATAGATAGATAGATAGATAGATA